TGTAAGGCACGTAAAGCGATTGGTCCTGGTTGTATTTGCATTCGTTGATATCCTCCAATTCGCATTGGGCCATCATGGAAGGTCGTGGCCCATCCTCTTTAATCCAAAAGGCTCCTGCAGTTGGTGAAGTAAAAGGGCTGATGATGATGATGAGGGCCGTTCAAATCTGACGGAAGCTCAGTTAAGCACCTCTCGGCGACCTTCTCAGTTAAGCACCTCTCGGCGACCGTCAGGGACATTCTCTTGAGCTCTCGGAGAACTCATACAACAAGCGTATGATCTCAGGAAACTTCTGAAGATCGCATAGCGCGTCTAACTGCTAACCGTAACATACATGCAGTATGGTATGAATATGAAACTTCCTTTGATAGAGAAATGCGCTTGGTCTCTGAGAGAGCTCGCAGTTTGTGCAATAGAGATCGAGAAAGTAGTTTCGATTATCGCCAACCCGTGTTGTCTTCATACTCCACAGGCGTACCGCAGATAAGTTTTCACAAGGTATAATGAACTAGCTGTTTTCCCGCAACTTTGCCGCAAAATTATAGCCCATGACATCCGTGATGTAGCTTCCCGTAGGTAGAATCTCTCTGAAACTATCGGTCCAGTAGTTTTGGGGCAAATTCGATGCAAACAAACAAACAACCAAATATAAGTATATCTTAGGTATAAGAGGTCCGATGGCGTAGTGGGTTAGCGCATTCGGTTTAAATTGCAGTGAAATAAACAAGGACATACTTGAAAACTTATTTTACATAACAAAGTACAAACGACAAACTCATCGCTAGCAAGCGATTTCTTCCAGGCAACCTAGCATTACATGGAAAATAGAACAATAAATAGCCAATTGTGCATTCAACTAGATTAATAATAATAATTTTAAAATATCAAAAACAAAATAAGGACAGTTTCAAGGTACGAATAAAATTCTCAGACACAGGCGACAACCAGAGCGCGAGAAACGAGAAAAAAGATAGAAAAATTAGATTCGTAAGGACAGGATGGGTGACCAAAACATTATTATCTTGAGCACTGTGCACAGTACTGGCACAATACACGTTAAGCTGTTAGTCCTGGCTGCATCAGCGACGTGAACACCCACCGATCCGCATTAAGCAGAGTGGGTTATGGCCCATTGATCTTATTCGATTCGCCTCCATTCATAGGAATAAAAGAATTCTACCAAAATACTTCCCACGCAGACGAAGTTGCGGGCACAGCTAGTAGCTCACCACCGGCGTGGTCCTGTATTATAGATATAAAAGTGTGTTTTCAGATTTCAATCTAGAGTAGTTAAATGTTTCTAAAACGCACATGAAAAACATGGTATATCTGGAAAGTTCCTCATGATTCACTTCTTATATTGATGAAGATCACATTAAAATCAATTGCGTAATTTAAAAGATCTCAGCGTGCATACAGACATACATTGTCGTATATTATGTCTTAATATATTTACATGATATATGAAAAATAATAATTAAAAGAAACGTCGATTTAAAACCTTTTCTTTGGTCCTATTACAAATTAAAGCAGTAGAACTCTGTTACAGCTTAGAGCTTTAATCAAATTAAAAACTGTATTAAATTTTGTAGTACATTGTTGTTCTATTGCATTGACATACGCAACAACGAGTTAAAAGTTAACAATCTAATAAATAAATAATATGTAGTAATAAATAAGTCTAATAATCTAATAAATATGGATAAAGTCAATGATAAGAGTCCCTTGCTAACTGATCCACCAAGCCTACCAGTACTCCGGCGCCCCTGGCACAGTGTAAATATAAGTAGACAGTGGTGAAACTGCCTACAAGCGTTCGAAATCGCACGCACACATAAACACTCTCACCGACGAGTCGCCTAAGTGGACCTAACAGGACGCTCAGTAACGCGTATCGCGTTGAGTTGAGGGGTTACGTAACACGTTCCACGATCGTTTTTATTTAAAAAATGAAGGAATGATTAAAGAAAGGAGTAGGCTTATGTGATATAAAAAATAAGATTTTTTTTTATTTAGATGTTTTTTAAATACCCGTTTCAGTATCATGCATATTTTCGGGTTGAAACGTAGTACGGTCCCACCCGAAAATGCTTGATAAACACCTAAAAACAGCCGCTCATGAGCGCGCCACCTAAGTGCAGTGCCTACCTACCACGCGTCCGATCCGAAGAGAGAGTCCGCTCTTCGACTATGTGTCCGTCAAAACTTGTACAAGGGTATGCCGTAATGTCAAGTTAAAGATCAACATAAAAACAAAGATTTACAAGTTGTGTCACTATTAAACTATTTCTCGTATGTTAAACTATCGTCTTCTGCTGAGATTAACCGATTTTTAACCGACTTCAAAAAATGAAGGTTATCAATTCGACCTGTGCGTATGATATATTTCCAGAACTGCCCAGTTTTCGCATATGTTATTTCTATATCATGTGGTGATATAGAATAATATAAGTAGATATCACTGTCTGAACAAATGTGTATTTATATTTTTGTTTGTTAATTAGTTATTACAATTCGATTGATTAATAATGTCAGAACTCCTTTTATATTTTGTAAAAGAAACATTCAAAATGACAACCCTATGGTTTCAATGGAGCGTAGGTATTTATTTTATCAAATAGGCTTAGTTTCTATACTGTGTCATTCTTATACTGTGCCCCTGGTCCTGCTACCATACTTACATAAGAACATAGATGCTTGATTATAAATCCGCCGTCGATTTACGAACCGATGGCGTAACTTTCACAAGTGCTTGTTACAGTCTAGACTAAATAAATAATTTTTATTTTTTTATTTTGAAATAGTAGAATATTTAAATCACATATTATTTATCAATCCCAAAAACAAGGGAGTGACTCTTCACTATCACTCTATTAACATTCTAAATGAGTTTACTTAACCTTCCTTAGAACCTACATGAATTTCACGAATTCCTAAATTGAAAGTTTATGAATATCTAATTTATACACATAACTTCCAAGGCTAACGGCGAATTTGCTCACCAAACCACAATTCAACAGTTTAAGTAAACTCTTTGTTAACATACTGTAAATGTTACCTATTTTGTTTGTAGTTGAACACAAACTGAGGTAGTACATAAAAGAGCATAGTGGCAAATGTAACATTATTAAACTTATTCCAATAAATGTGTTTACAGGCCTTTATAATTTAGTCAGGTCTTCATAAATATGTATATCTATCAGCACATCATAGATAGATTGCGATTGCAATGTGACCAAAAAGAAAAGGTTTAAATTATCCGAAATCAATATTTATTATTATTTGTATTCCGCTTCTCAACAGAGCATCCTAAATCTACAGTCGAGAGAAGCAATTACTTTAGAAAATATCATAACTTTAGCAATTTTTTATAACAAAGGACGAGAAATTTTCAAGTAATTATTGTTAATAGCATAATCATAGTATTCCATTATCAATTCTTACTTTATTCAAATTCAAAGAGGAAACGCTCGCAGCCTTCTAGGTACCTTACCCGTTGGTAATGATCTGGGAGATATTTTTTTTGAGTATAGGTATTATTTTAAGACATAGTTTAGATAAGTAGTTTTAATTGCAATTTTAACCATTTAATATAAAAATAATAGTTTGAAACTTATGTCAATAAAATACCTATACGTGTAAAATTTTAGGTCAATTTTGTAGCTTGACGATAGACTTTAAATACGTCTAAACTAATAGGAGATAGTATCTAATATACATATTAAATTAAAACTACTTATCTAAACTATTTCTTAAAATAATAACTAAACTAAATTAAAAATGTCTCCCAGATCATTGCCTACAGGTAAGGTACCCAGAAGGCTGGGTATTATATTTGTATAGGAGAATATATTTGTAATTTTTGTGTTTATAGAATAAGTATATTCAAAAACTAAAAATTCCAGATTTTTTGGTAAAAATATGTGTACTTAATTAATAATATACTCGCAATCAATTGCTTCTCTTGGTTATAGATATGAGTGTGTTTTCAGATCTCAACTAAGAGTGGTTTAATGTTCGTAAAACGCACAATATGAAAAATATGGTATATCTGGAAATCTTCAAATGGGTCTTCGCGGTGGTTATCTTATTATAGTATCTATCCTTATTATAGCTCATCCTTATTAACGAATTATGAAACAAAGTCGCAATTGCTTTTTAAACAAATGATAATTTAAATAATAAAAAAACTACCTAAAAAAAATTGTTGACTCCGTCAAAAGATTGCAGTTAGCATACAACAATTTTGTTTAAAATTTCTCAATCGGTTTAAAATTAATAATATCGTTCATTCAATGTCCTTTAAAAATTGTCACGGTTCCAATCACTATCACTTGTCAAATAGTTCTAACGTGAAGTTTGTGATAGCTTTCAAATGTCAAATTGAAAGGGATTGCGGATAAATTTTAAAATTAGAAGCAATTATAGATAAATAATGCATAACAAATTACATTTTAAATGGTAAAATAATTTTAAACATAGGGTATCTCCGGAATCATGACACTTAAACAAACTGCAAACTCACACTCTCCTTTAAAATATTGTTTTTTTTTGGCACAAGGTATTAGCTAGTACATTTTTAATTCTTCTTTAAGGTATACTCTGTGACGTTATAGCTCATGATTGTCTGTGGTTTTAGATATTATGGTCAAATTATAAGTAAAGCACGGTAATTATCATATAATATTTATGAGATCAAACAAGTAGGAAGTGTTATTCATTAAACCAAAACTATACATTTACCATTTCAAGGTCACGATGTGTGTTCATTATTTTAATTTACGATTAATTAATGTATATGATAAAGATAATTTTTATAAATCAGTATCTACACATTTGTGTCGTTTATTTCATGTATTTTATAACTAACAATTATAATAACTAGTACCTATACCTATTTATTTCTTATTTTTTATTATAAAGAAAAACACGAGTTTATAATTTAATCGCATTTAATTCAAAGTTATTTTAATTCTTGATTCTTCAAACATTGATGTGGTTCACAGACTTGACTGAAATAAAAAAAAAACTTTTTATCACAATTATTAAACATATTTGTTGAAATCAATACATTTTAGTATACATATTTCAAATCTTAAAAAAAATTTTGAAGTATACTAAAACGATTCAAACAAGATATGCACTGCAGGAGCTCAGGCCTTCCTTATAGATAGATGGTCAAGGAGGATGGGCCATGACCCTCCACGCTGGCCCAATGCGGATTGGAGGGAGGGACTGCAAATGCAGCCGGAACCAACGGCTTAAAGTGTCTTCCGAAGCACGGAGTAGCTCGAGATAATAATTTTTGGTCACCCATCCCGTGACCGACCCTTGCGAAAGTTACTTAACGACAGCGAAAGTTACTTAACGACAGCGATCACGGGCCGCGGCGAGCTACTCGCTAGTTATCTTTGCAATTTTGCATATTTCATTTTATTGTAGTAAATAAATTATTTGATCAATATCCGTATTTAAAATTGTAGGTTGTTATTAGGGAAAAATTCATGTAAATAAATGTAATTAAATCATATGTTGCAAAATTAAGCAACCGGTTATTCATACTAGCATATTACTAGATCGTCACACTAGCCGCATTTTTTATAACCACAGAGCATTTGCGACTTATGTGTTGAGGTGAAATAAAAACTGTACGAGCGCCATCCAATTACTATACAAAATGATGACTTTTGCCATATTTTAAATTAACCTTGGGCATTTTCGCGATTATAAGTAAGAACTATCAAGACTAATAGTTGCAAAAATAACACGTCGAATGTAAACGAATTTTCGCTTATGTTCACTAACCTCAGGACCCCTGTGGATGGCAAGCATCATATCGTAGTCATTGGCTCCCACAGAAATGAGAGCACGACCATCGTTACCAACTGTGACTGTCTTGCCTGTGCAGCTGTTGCCACTCTTGGAACCGGATATCACATCACAATATCTACCGGCAGGTAGACAAGTCTAGAACAAGAATCATAAAACATTAACTATCAATGAAAATGGAGTTGAAATAAAAATAAAATAAAAATTTAGATATAGTAACACCTATGGTAAATGTATTGTGAGCAAAAGGTGATGATTTATATCAACTCTTTCATATTATCTCGTGTTTTCTTCGTTGCTGCGGGTCATTTTTCATACCATAAGATTTTAATAAATTGTGATGAATCTTTTCATAACACATGTTATTAATAATCGATGTTAATATTTACCTGCAGATTCTGGTTTAGATCCCACGAGTCATTGTTAAAAGCGATAAAACCTTGTCCACCGCGGCAGAAAGCGATCTGATTGCTGCCATTATCCCACCAATCATTTATATTGGTGTTGCCAGCAACATTCCTAAAAGCAACCATCTGGTAGATCTGACGCCAACGATGTTCGCATATCCATCCATTGCCGCAAGTGTTATCCTTAAAGTTAAATGAATTCTCGATATAGTTTGAAAAATATATTATTCATTATTATATTAATGAAAGGAATTATTCTTCATTACTTACAGAGTTGATCGAAGGAGAGATAAGATTGCCACTACTGTCCATTGGTGGCCCGGCCTCAGTATTTTGGAAGCCAAAGCTACTCATAAGCTGAGGTTCGCCATAAGGATGAGCTAACATGAATGCGATAGCTCCCTTATACGGTCTAGCCTGTTTGTACGTGAGGATATTTCCACCAGCGCCGTGACCTCTTTGATTGTCGTGATTGTCAATGAAGACTAGTGAATCAGCCGATGCAAGAAGGTTCCATTGAGGCCCCCAATTCGCAAGCCACCTCAACTGATTACCGCCCTGGAATGCTCTGCTAAGTTCCATGCCGAATTTGAACTCAGTTACGGCAGCAAGTGGAGTGTATTCGTCGCGACTGACAGCTTCCCCGCCAAGATCGATGACTTCTTGATAGATGTAAGGGCGGGCACCAGATGGAAAACCGTGTGCGGTGTTCAAATTGTGTAGCCTATCATAGATGATACGAAGATCGCCAGGCCACATATGCTTAGCTGCGTCAATCCTATGAATATCCAAAAATATTTATTTAAAATCGTTGCTGCACCAGAATATCTCAATAATAAGTGATTTTATTATACCTGAAACCAGCAACGCCCATGTCGATGAGACGGTTCATAAAGGTGACGATCATTTGTCGAACATATTCAGTACCTTGATTCAAATCTTTAAGACCGGAGAGTTGACAGTTGCGTACCTTAAAAATTTAAGATAATTAAATCATCAGTTATTGACTTTGCCTGTGCTTGGCAATATTTTGAAACAATTAAGGGTTAACTCATACATACTCGTTCAGGGCAACATCCATAATCGCTGGGTTCGATGTAACATTCAGGCCAATTGAAATCATTTCTTCCAAAGGGAACTCCGGGGTAATTAAATTGGCCGAAGTTGGCTGTGTTTCCGCCTGTACCGACGTTTTCATTCCATGTTCCAGTCATATGATTAATAATAGCATCTACGTAGATTCTAAAATAGCCAAATAATCATAAAATGAACCTACCTTCCTTAACATAAACTCTAGAATCTAAAGAAATGGATTCAAGCAATACTATTTTGTATATATGTATACCTGACACCAGCGTCGTTGCATCTCCTGACCATACTCGCAAATTGCTGTTCGTTACCAGAACGAGTAGTCAGCTGGTAGGACATCGGCTGATAGCGCTCCCACCAAGGCCGATTATGTGACCATATGATTAGATTCTCATTGGGAGGAGATATCTAAAAAGTATAACGTAACTAAAGCATCTTTTTAATTAACAATTTATTAAATATTAATCGTTGCCTTCATCGGCAACGGCGACTTATCAAACGGTTCGTTAAGTCTTCAAGAATAACCCTTATTTTTGAGTTAAATACAAATAAGAGAAATTTCGATGAATTAAATTTGTAACTATATTTTTCTGAAGTATTTGTGTAGTACAAGTTTCATTAAGATTGATTCAAGAGTTTTCAAAATGTACGTTTAATTGCCCAAACGTCAATTAAGATATAATGAGTGTTCATAATTTGATTTGATTCCGTAATGTTGCTTCAAACGGGTGAGAATTTTAATGGACGTGTGTGCAATCGCAAAATTGTGTTTCTGAAGTAATTAAACCAACTTTTAAATTTCATAATATAATAAAATAGGAAGATAATTCAATAATCTTCTATTGAAGCCGGGCGATGAATAATACTACACAATATCCACGCCAGATTTCAATCGAAGTTTATTAAATAAATTAACACTCTAATTAACGTTAACTAGGCGTTAACGTATAACTGACTTCGAAAAAAGATATTTGTTTACATGTGATTTCACAAGGATGGGGCAATATTCATAAATTTTCAATATTCGTCTGTATTGACTCCTAAAGAGGGTTATAATTTGTGAGTGTCTTTATGTATGTATTTTTATTCGTTTTCGCGTATTTCCTGCAACCAATTCTTCAACTCCCAATGATCGTTTAAGTTAGGGAAAACCACAAGTTTAATTAAAACTAGTTCAGTAATTGAGAAGGTATACTATCTAAGTTCGACGAACTTTAATACGGAGAAAATAAACAAAATAAAAATGACACAACATGCAACTATGATCTGATTATATAAATGTTTCTGTGACATGACAGAAACATTTATATAATCAGTGTCATTATCACATATATAAGTCAACCTTTTTAATATAAGGGTCATAATTACCTTCCTATTCGATTAATGATAAAATCAATGCTCGGGTAAGATCACACAAATTGTTCGCAAAAAACACGCTTTGATCAGTAACAGTTTCCGAGAATGTTCAAATATTCCTCATGTTACATACCTGGATGCCTCCAAATCCTCGTGGACCTAACCATCTCTCACACTCTGCAGCAATGTCGTCCCACTTCCATTCGAAGAGGTGAACCATCGTAGTCCGGCCGGGTGCATAATGGGGATTCTTGTAACCATGTGCCAAAGCCGTGGCAGCCAATAGAAGGATGACACGAAACATACTAAAATAATTGATCACAAACTTATCAAACCTTTTTGGAATATTTGTACCTCAAAATACAAATATAAATGAAGAGAATAGGAAACATGTTATATTAAATTTAATATTTGTGTAGAAACTTTAATGAACGATTCCGACACACTCTTGTCCTATTTTATTAATTTATATTTATATCGTACCTGGTAGTGTCAAGACCTCCCAGAACTTGTCACAACAGTATAACTAATATGTAATAGACCTCCTACGGCACATTACTTTTATACTAGTAGATAATTTAACGGTAATTATCAATTTAAACATCATTTTAATCAGATAGTAGAAATTTATCGATAACTATGTGAAAATATCAAACAATTTTGTGAATATGTGTGTGCTTTGCTGCAGTGATAAAAAACTTCAAATAACAAATAAAACTCATTAGTAAGATATAAATCACTATACTGATAAAATTAGAATAGTATAGGTAATAATTTATTTTTGTAATAAATAACCAAACGTACCGCAAATTACGTCAAAGTTATTAAAATCCATGCCGATAAGTAATTAATTGGCACAATTAATTCCTACGACATGCTTAATAGCAAATATTGTAATAATGGCTAATAATCTGACAAATGACGAGACTGTTATTTAAAAATACCGCCGTATTGGACTCATTCAACAATAATATTTATCGACTATAGTATTTATTTATTTCGATTAAAAAAATAAAAATCTCCTAACAAGCTTTATTTATGAGGGTAAGCTGGAATACAGTGTTACACGGGGGCACACTGTTACAATGCACGGATCTCCATCCCTCTCATTAATTTTGATAATGTTTGTACACAGTTTTGACAAGCTCTTAGATGGTCATCTTGAAACAGTTTTTATTACTTCAGTTTATGCCGCATGTGGATTATTTAATTAAAAACGAATTTGGGTAACCGAACGTAAGGAAAATCACTTTGAAGTTTTTTTTTCTAATATATGACATTTAGGTAATTGATTAAGGTTCATCTATTTACTGGTTCTTTGGCTTCATATTGCTTTTAGTAGTTTATTGTAAACACAATCTCTTTTACTCATTTGATTGTTTTTTGTTAGTCTTGCCCATCTTAGGCAGTGTGTTACGGGGCATGACGTTGTTACACTCTACAATGGGTCCCAAAATAAATGTCTTGTTTATTTTGTGCCTAGGTTTTATAAGAAAATGGTAAGTAATCGTTACAGAAAGACAATACTACCCGTTCAAGGCATAGACTAACAAGAATAACTTGCTTAAAAAACTTTCCACCTCGTCTCGTCGTCGTCGTACCAAAAATATCGATATTTAAATTACATAGCCTATTCATCTAAACTGTAGCGTTATCAAATAACGTATTAGCTGCTTTTATAAACGAATTGTCTTTGTTAGATTCCGGTGTCGTACATATAGTTTTTAAGCGTACTATATTATAGTATCTCTCTAAAGTTTTATAGTCCACAGGCCCAAAATAGTAATAGTACAATACTATATATTATGCTACGGTTAGTAACCCTAGGGTATGAGTACTTATCGTCAGTTAATCAGTAGGGTGTGCGAAGTCTCGACAGTTTCAAAGTCTCTCGACACAAGACAGCCTATGGTTAAAGACTCGAAATGTCCTGGGACTTGAGATGTCTCTTAATAAAATTAGGATTATGTGAATGTCTGGCAAATTATATTAATTTAAAATCAATATTCAACAAACATAAAATGAAATTTTAAATGTTTTTATGGGGGTATATTTAAAATAATATTAAATTTGTATTTTTTTCTAAAAGTATATCCTTTTTTTTTGTAATATAATAGGTAAATATAAAAAAGACATCAAATAGTATTATAAATCGCGCAGCGAATCTTTTTTTGAGCAGAACAATTCCGAAGATGACCGAACGTACCATTTAAATAAGCATAACGTGTAAAATTCTATGTATTATAAATCCGTCTAACTCAAACTCAACGGAGGCCAGGGGGCCAATTCTACTAAATAAATAAATTTTGTTAAAATTTTAAATCGAATCGATAACTGATCGAAACCGAACAAAACTACAGTTTTTAATGGTTTTTCTATTCTACAAAGTGACATACGATACAATTCTAGTTCTATTTAAGCTGGAATTGTGTCGTTACCGATACAATTTTAGGTTCGTTTTAGATTCGATTTAAACTAAATTTATTTAGTAGAATTGGCCCTCTGCAGGCGTAGTGTGACGAGCTCGAGAGTGTTCTCTCTACGCCCAAATATCACTTTTCTCGGGCCTCGGCGCCCATACGATATCTCACTCTCAACCCACGAAAAGTGACGTTTCTCGAGTTCGTTATGCTCCACGTGACTCCCGTTGAATCTCAATGAGACGAACTATTAAGTCTACTATGACGATATGATTGACGGTCATGTGTCGCAATCTGAAAAGCCTTCTGCACAAGTACGTAAGTGATCACACTGGATTAAGATGCAGTGTGATCAATTATGTACTTGATGTATTATTTAAGTATATATTTTAATGGAATGATATTACAATAAAAAAGTGTAGAAAGGTTACTTGAATACTAAAAGTATCTTAAAACTATGCTAAATAGCATACTTGAGCGCAATCTGGCGAAAGCGTTGATGGTGTGCGGTTATCTATCATAATCATTTTAAAAATGCCATATCCTGTATCACATTTCATTAGTAAGTATACATTTATTAATTGATTTGCGTTTTAATCAAAACAATAAATATTGTGTCATAAAAAAAGATTAAATACTCCGGTTACAAATTGTGAAAAAGATCTGTCAAAGATTATGTAAGTAACAAAATGGATAATTAAACTTTAGTGCCTACGCTCTACTTAACATTTATTTGCAAATCTATATGAGACTGAAACTTCGAAACCGGGATTTGCTCGAAATTGATCGAAGCCCTCGTGTATTATACATAGTATTTATCAGTGTCAGGTATATTTTATCGCTTAAAAAGCTTAATTATTTATACACGGGCATCACTACATAGTATAATACAAAGTCGTTTTCTCTGTCCCTATATCTCTATGTATGCTTAAATCTTTAAAACTACGCGGATTTTGATGCGGGTTTTTTATGGATAGGGTGATCATGGGCGAAGCCGCTGGCGGAAAGCTAGTATAATATATACACTAACGACAACGAGAAATAATAATGGTCGACATCAACATTTTTAAGTTGAACTGTTGATCGAAGACTTTAACTCGTTTATGTAAAAGTAAGCATTAAACATGCATTAAATCATTATACGTCTGAAAAGAAATAAAAATATCTTTATTCTAGTAAGCTTATGTCAAGCACTTTGAATCGTTCAAAAAAAATTTCCTCTAGCACTTGTTCAGGACGTAGCTGACAAGAAGAAAAAGCGAAATAAAACTTACCAGCTCCTTATCATAAGTAATGACCTTTACATAAATCATGTCTTACAAAAATAGGTCTGGTCTGTGACATGTTCAATTATAGTCTCTGAATAATTGGAGATTATCGTGCCATGTGCGTGTGTGTATGTTGGGGACAATTTTTGACATTGTATTAGTACTGACATGACATATCTATCCATTTTTATTGTAATATCATTGTCTTAATGTACAAGTATGTATAAGCTTTTCCACAGTCTCAAACCTAACTTACCTTCGTCGCACCTTTTTCACGCGTTCTTATCATATTTGATCCACTTTCATCATCAGTTATCATTCATTCAACAGCTCTTCGGTTTCATTAAGTACATTTCAAAATAGAATCGCAATTGAACATAAGGTTCATCATGGCAACTCGGTCACGGCTTCCAGGGTCTCATCTCTAACGAGAGGGTTCACCGTAGGGATTTTGTCACCCACCGAGTGGTTCATGGAGGAGAGTCTCACACACCCCCTGTTGTGTGTAAACACCCAGAACTCGAAGAAATGCTTTTAGCACTACCCCTGTGTTGTGTGATAGTGCTAAAAGCATTTCTTCGAAAGTAAAAAAAACAGGATTATTTCGTTCACGTGGGACACAATTCCCAAGTTTTCTGTGTACTAAGATTTTTCAGATAGGCCAAAATTGTTTAATGGTCAATTTCCAGTGCGAACATTTTTTGTTGCGTTATGCCTATTAATATAATTCTTAATTATTCCAAAAATGCATCTTTGACATCAGAATTTCTAGATAAAACGTCACCGTTTTTCCGCAGTTTGAACTGTATTGAAAGAGAATTTAAATACTAAATGCATTCACGCAAACCGCAAGAAAACCATAGATGAGAATCAGAGAAGTTATTTTATTTACTTACTTTAAGGTTGCAATTTTCTTTCTAGAGTAAAATTTTAAAATGTTTCGAATTTTTTATTAAATTTCAAAGATATTAAACTACATCAGTGCTATTAATAAACAAGGTTTAGCGTCAGAGTAAATTTACGCTAAAATTGCAATTTTAGTATTAGTCCAAATTCTTATCATACAGAGAATAAGCAAACCTACTACCTTCTAGGAGTAAATATTACTCCAGTAGAACCTCGTACTAAGTTAATCTTTGCTAAGTCTCTGTTTAATAATATGTCTAATAAATATCAAAATTTAAATTTTAGCGTAAATTTACTCTGACGCTAAACCTTGTTTATTAATGACACTGATATAGTAATAGTTATATGTATTATCTTTATCATACTGGAAACCAGAAACAGAATACCTACTTTACATCTTCTTGCTATCGCAGTATGCAACGGATTTTCCATGACTTTTGTATGAATTGCTACAGGATTCCGTCCATTATCCATTACGGTTGCACCGACAGTATGCATTATATGAGCAAAGAAAATGCCAATGACTTTATGTCGATTACCACTATCGCTTCGTCAAAAGAGAGCCAGTTTTATGGTTCATTGTCAAAATAAATTAATTCTATTCTAAAACTGTCAAAAACTATTCTATTGAAAAATTGAATCCAATAGACGAATGATATGATGCAAATCCGTTGTGTACTGTGCGTCTTTGCGTGCGTGCGAATTCAGTGGACGTTCAGATTAAAAAAACATGAAAATCAATTATATATTTTTAGAGTTTAAGCTGCTTGAAAAATGTATTATAGTATATGTAGTTTTTTTGGATTGGGAGACTCAAATAAAACACTGGTTTTGAAGTTGAATTGTATATCTAGCTTTAAAAAGTTAAATTGGTCACTTATTTCTATTCACGATGAAACTGCAAAGAAGACTGAAACAAACAAAAAATAGTATCTTTATGCACTTGTCACTTCCTGTTTTATCAAATTAATCTACAATTGATTTTATCAAATACTATAATATAATGTTATACGAAAGATAAAAATCATAAGTAGGGGTATCTGAAAAAAAATTATATGTACACATTTTTAGAGTTCGCTGTCCTCCGCTGTCCGTTCGTCTGTCATCGGGCTATATCTCATGAACTATGATAGATATTTAATGATGACATTGAATCATATTCTGAATATTAAAAATTAGAAAAACGGTTAACTTTTTTTTGTCTATCTTCAAATATCGCCCTGTCACTATTTCATATTTGAAAATGCACATTGCACCCGTTTAATAAGCTAAACAATAAATAAATTAACCCCTAAATGTGTGCGAAGTACCTACATCAATACCTTCTAAATTTACACCAATTGTTTCGAAGGTAACTCGTGATTTATTTAGTTTACTAAATGGTGACACAGTTTCCAAAACTTCTTAAACATTTCAGGGGTTGAATACAGAAACAATAATTATTTTATTTCTATTTTCACAAAATTATTTCATGGGTCTTACAGACCAATTTTCGTTTTCTTCATATTGCATTGTAAAATATTTCTTATCAGGGATATAACAACATTATCTCTAATACACCTACGTAATATTATAATTATACGTCTAGAAATAAATTCTAATCGGACCAAGTTCAATTTTAAGCAAAATATTCTCAATACGATATCAATAATTGCCTTTTACATTTCACAAACAATGATAAGATTAATAATCATTGAGTAAAATTTATAATAATCCATCGAATAATAAATGAAACATAAAAACTTATTAGATAGTATCTACCAAAAACCTGACATCACGTCCAGATGGACAACACATTTTTAAAACTACTACTCATCTTTAGGTTCTTTATGTGAATACAGGCATTCTTTATGGATGGATGGGCATGCCTACACCAAACCACCAAATTATAATCCGCTTATTACAAACTTAACTTTAGATAAATTATTTTTGAAATCGGTTCAGTAGTTTAGAAGCCAACGCAAACAAACCTTTAAAATTTCCTTTTTTGAATATTAGTATAAACACTTACAATAAATATTATGACTATGACTATGAATATGACTATGACTATGACTATGACTATGACTATGACTATGACTATGACTATGACTATGACTATGACTATGACTATGACTATGACTATGACTATGACTATGACTATGACTATGACTATGACTATGACTATGACTATGACTATGACTATGACTATGACTATGACTATGACTATGACTATGACTATGACTATGACTATGACTATGACTATGACTATGACTATGACTATGACTATGACTATGACTATGACTATGACTATGACTATGACTATGACTATGACTATGACTATGACTATGACTATGACTATGACTATGACTATGACTATGACTATGACTACAATACATTACAAACTCATTACAGTTACCTCTTTTCCCACATGTATCGCTAAATGCATATCCTCCACGTTGCCTGGTAGATGGATGTCAGCATATCCCTTCTCGTCAACAGATACTTTCATTCCGGTACATGTGTCGCCATTTCTCTTTCCTGATATCACATCACAGTAGTCACCGTGAGGAAGACCAGTCTAAACAGAAAAGCATTCGTTTCATATAGGGCCAAGTTTTCTAAACATTTCCCATCCACGAATGTGTAGAATTAAAGTTAAATTCGAGGTCATACTGCGATATAACGAAAATCAGCAATAAAATAAACATTTAAATATTTATAGTGTGTGTTTATTACTGCAGATGCAAACAGGACCGACGGTCCAGTCGCTTAAATTCCACGTGCCATGTGGAATTTAAGCCATGTGGACTTTTGAAGCGAAGCGGCCGAATAACGTCTTCGAGCTTGTCTAAAAGAAGAAAGCGCATTAGTAATAAATTACCTGTAACTTTTGCACCAAATCTCGGCCCTCGGCGTTGAAAACTATAAAACCTTTTCCATTTCTGCTGAAAGCGATTTGTTTGTTGCCATTGTCCCACCAATTCTTAATGCTGGTGCCTTTCACTACGTTCCTAAATGCAACCATTTGGTAGATCTGCCGCCAGCGGTGTTCACAGACCCAGCCATTACCGCATGTATCATCCTATTAAGAAAAAAGTCAAGAATAAATGCAAGTAGGACTCGTGCCTGGACCTGGCGGTCTCCTTGCCGAATACCCGGTCCTTCTCCCCAGGATGGTACTCGCAGCGAGTTTACCAGATAGGCCAGCCTCGCTTAAGCCTGTCCTTTTCAGGACGGGTGTGGGGTTGAAGAACCCTGGTTTAAGATTATTCTATTTGATTAATTTTGCATTCACAATGCTATACTAAAAATTTTGTATTAAGAGTAATTTTGGGTAAAGCATTGTGAATGCAAAATTAATTAAATATAATAATTAAAACAAATTCTTATCCTTATCGAAAGTGTCAATATTTGTAATAATATTTCTCTCGGCTGTTTGGGTGGATGCCTGAACATTGATGAGAATACGCTCTGTAGTAGCGAAAAGTAACAAGTGCTTGAAAGATTCGTCTGTCCTGTTAGGTCCTAGGTAGCTCAGTGGTTAGAGCAGTCGCCCGAATTAGAGCAGAATCCCGTCTCAGGGTGCCAGGGACCAAGTAGATTTTTTTTTATTCTACTGCGTTAAAAAAAGGACTCGAAAATGCGTTTCTTTGGAGTTATATTAGCATTTCTAAAATAGACGAAATTTTGTTTTCGGAGAAATAGAAGAAGCTTTAAATATGTAAAGTAATAGTAGGGTGAACAGAAATAAGTGTGTTGATGTTAATACGTACGTGAAGAACCTAATTATTCAAGTACCTTTAATACGGCTTTAAGAATAGTAACTGCAATAATATCTTCGAGAAACTTCACTGTTTGACTTTACTATGAGTAAAACTAGCTGTTTTCCCGCGTCTTCGCCCACATAAATTATATATAACCTGTGTCACCTGCTTATGACGTAGCTTCTCGTAGTGAAATTATTTAAATTTTCTCTTTAGTATAGATTACAATACATTACAAACTCATTACAGAGTTACCTACTTATTCCAGTTATTTAGCGCTAAACGGTATGAAGACATTTACTATACCTGTCACAGGATAATAATACCTTCGACAAAATACACGGTATTTGACTTTACAGACAAAATTCTTTGAAAAGTTCCCGCCGAGTTAGAAGCACTTCTAAGAACTGCGGACTTGAGAACATGCGTTTGTAACTAGCAAGTAGTTGTTAGTTCAAACGATTATCTGAATTAGGAGACCGATGGACAGTTAGATATTATTTAGTAAAACCTACTTCAAAATCTAATAAAAGTCAAAAATAAATCAGGAAGCATAAAAAAAATATATTATTACATTATACATCTAAATATATATAACTCAAAGGTGACTGACTGACATAGTGATCTATCAACGCACAGCCCAAACCACTGGACGGATCGGGCTGAAAGGAGAATGGGCAATTTACTATGAGAGATCGGCTATTTTTGCGTAACTGTGCACATTGTTGAAACCAACGGTAAACGATAGATAATTATTTCTAGAATGAGTAGGAAAAAAAACATTTTAAAATTATGCCAGAGTTTGAGAATATCTGAATATTTAACAGAGATTTTGAGGTTATGTCGTTATAATATCTACATATATAAGAGCAATAAAATGAATAATGTATTTCAAACAATCGATGACTAACAGACATAAATATTTAATTGCGAAAAAGGACACATCTATACCGAAAAAGGAAATATTGGATTTTTTATTGTTAAGGATAAACTCAAAAACACCTAGGTCAATTAAAAACTAGTTTTTGACTAATATTATACCTGACCAACATTATCAGAGTTAAAATACTTTATTTCGTAAAAGTCGTAGTTATATACTCGCCGCTAAAGAAAATATTATAACGAATGTCACTAGCAATCTTAATTTAAGATATTTAGGTATTTATCTAACGGAATCTTGTTATATTTATGTATAACACCGCTTATACACTCATGTTTTTTCCTCCGTTAAAACTTATCCTTATCCTTTATGCCTATATGAATAAACGAAGCCTATTCTTTGGGATTAGTGACAAACGTTAACTTGGCCGAACGTTGGTTCAGTCTGTACGCGTCATATTAAGATGCGCCACCCGGCCGATTGCATTTATTTGCCTTCTATTATTAACTATGAAATAGCGTACATATCTTTTTTCATACTCAAAAGAAAACCGAAGGAAGCACAGACTAAGAAAAAGATACTACGTGAAGGAAGTCTTATCTTAGATAGTAATTAAACAATCGATTTTTTTCGATACATAGTAATCTAGGAATCGAAAAAAATCCCTTTGTTTTCTATAAGCGATAAGGCGATGAGCCTTATTATATAGTCTATTTTTGCATAGTTGACATATATCCAAGGCAAGACTCGTGATATGTCAGTTTAGCAACTGTTTCAATACGGTTAATTTTAAACGCCGCATAATTTTAAAATAGTATTTATATAGAATAAATTATAATTAAAGAGAAAATTTATGATGAATAAATGCATAGTGCGCAATTTGCGTAATTTTAGCCGACTTCTGCCCATTCTCCTTTGGCATGCAGGTAGATGTTATGACGTAGGAAATCGCTAAGAAAGGGTTTTGATCAATTCTGCCCCCAAGGGGACCAAATAGGGGATGAAAGTTAGTATGAAACAACTTACTTTGTCAATTTTAAACCGATTGGACTGAGACTTTGCATGCATTAAGCATGCATTCATACAGATCAACAGACATTCATACAGATCAATTTGGTAACCTTATATTTTGAAGTCGATTACAATATCAAAAAATACCATTTCTATAGCTACGTTAAAACTTATAAAAATTTTGCTTATATCACAATTTTTTTAATTAGTCTAGTATTTTCAAAGTCTATTCAAGCAAACCAAACAAACATTCCCCATTATAATAATTTTGTAGGTTATTATTAAGCTTTATATTCTTTTGTAAGTGCACGATTACACAGACACAGTTACCTCATTGATGGTCGGAGAGAGAAGGTTCTCTTTGCTATCCATTGGTGGACCTTGTACCTTATTGTCAAAGAAATAACTGCTCATTATGCGGGTCACACCGTATGGGTGAGCGAGTATAAAAGCTATGGCCGCCTGAAAAGATAAATAAAATCATAAAACTAGAAAGAAACTGATAAAGGAACATTATAATAAGAATGTCTCATGGTTATATTTAGAACAACATTTTTTGTTAACGTTATAATGAATAATTCATGTTAATTTGTAAATACAAACATTGTCTCTGTGATTTGTACTCTGCAGTGTTATTCTGTTATAAAAACAGTAATGCTGTCATAGTATAGAGATCCAATCAAATAAAACCTAATAAAAGGGTTTTATTCCATTTAACGCTATATCAGGACTGCGTTCAGCTGCGTTTGTTGCATTAATTGAATGGACCGACGGTAATTTTGAGGTTATTTTTTAAAAGAATAAAGCGTAATGTACTGTGACAGGGAAAAGATCGACTGCAGCCAGTAAGCACTAATTATCGATATCATTACGGTCAGTCAGCTGTTACTTTGACATTTTACACACTTCGGGGCTGTCATTCTTGTAAAACTTGGTTTCAGCATTTCGACATAGTGATTTTTAATATATCAATTGAATAGTGAATTGATCTAACCCAATGGTTTCAAATGCACAGATATAAAGTATATCTAATAACTGTAATGAAGTCACATAACATCTAAGGACCTATTCTATTTATCCTCGAAATAAAATTTTCGAAAATTTCGAATCGTTCTTATAATTTTGTTTAAATAATTTCCATAAAATTATCTATGCAGAGGTAGTATAAGGTTCCCTACCTTCGTTACAGCATAAATTATCAAATAATCAAGCTTTAAAAAAAACGTAATTTAGTTTTCGGGGAAATAAAATAAGCCTACAGGTTAATTCGTACGAGTAGTATAGTATTCCAAAATCACACTTCGTAACTGTATTTTAAATCTACTACTTTTGAACTCGAAATCAATGTCTGTATGACTCTTATAACACTTATAATCTTACTTTGTACGGCCTCGATTCTTTGTAAGTTAATACATCGTGGTCCCTCTGAGTGTCATGGTTGTCTATAAAAGCGAGTGCTGTATCACTTGGAGACAAGGACCATTGTTCACCCCAAGATACGAGCCATTTGAGAGCATTTCGTCCTCGGAACACATTCTTGAGCTCGGCTCCGACCTTCAAATATACATAAGAAAATTTGGTAACATATATTTAATTATTTTTAAATCCCACATCAATAGAATACTGATCCGAAAAAGAGAAAAAAAATCACTTTGTTGTGTTTTTGTATGGTAGCCCCTTAAATATTTTATAGCGACAGAAATACATTTGTGAAAATTTCAACTGTCTGATTATAACAGTTCATAAGATATAGCCTGGTGATAGACGGACACACGGACGAACGGACGAACTGCGAAGCATTATTAATGTTTTCTTTTCCCGCATCTCGGACTAACGTTTTTAGGTATTCACCGTTGCTTCGCAATTCTGCTGCATATAATAATATCGGTTATTATGTGTTTAATCTAGATATATTTTTCAACTCGCAGTTAATTTTTAAAGCTCAGATCCGGGAATTCTTAAGTTCTGTGGACTAGATTGGGTCGGTTAAGGGACTGGGGTTGACGTGCTCTCTGAAGCCCTGCGATCTGTGTTACAGTTATTTTGATCTGACTTTTCACTGAGAACCGGAGAGTGCCTTAGCCTCTCATTATTGATTTTATCAATGGTGGAGTGAATTGTTGGTGTCGTCTATCAGCAAGGCGTACTTAAAAAAATTGTTTACGCATATATGTTAACAATGCTATATATATATATATATATATATAAGATTTAAAACTAACTGTAAGTTGAAATATGTATGCTGTTGGTTGACCATATAAATAAAGATTATAAATAAAAATAAATGTTATCCCGTTTTTATCCTTTAGGTAAGGAACTCTTAAAAGGACATTATTACTTAAAGAACTACTAGATGAATAGAAATGAGCATAATTACTAGAACAAATGGAATAAGTAGTTATTTTTCTATAGATGTTTTTTACATAAGTTTTGACCTAATATTTTAGGGTGTAACATATAATATTTTCCCGTTTAGAATATCAGCTCATTTATACGCAAACACATAATCGTTATTTTCGGTGTAGGCCCCAGAATACTGTAAAAACAATTTTCCCTTTGTGAACTACAAATAATTACCCACCACCCAGAACTTAATAAAGCCGTTTCAAAGCGAACTTTCTCAAAGTTATCTCGTCATGCTTTCCGATCGTGAATTGATCTGTTACATGATTCAGCGTTAAATAGTTCCCAACTCTGATAGCTCTATACAAATTGTCGAGCCACTTCAAAATAGTTAAGTTTACGTTCTTTAGTTGAGTTAACCGTCAATTTCTCATATCTATAATAATATTTTTGAACGGACTAAGAAATAAAGAGCACAAAACTGTCCCATCTCAATGAAATCGATAAATATTATTAAAATTAAGTAAACTGGTTGTCAGAGCTGTATTTGTATGCAGCGTAGCAAGTTTCTTTGTATTTGTAATAGTACTCTTATCAATCAATGCACCTAACTCAAAACGAATCACGGATATATGTCGCATCATCTTTACGAAGACTGTTTGATTTAGTATCTTTTTTTTAATTGCTAGTTACTCGATTACTTGGGGTGTTGGAGGGTTGAGTACGCTTTGGTATGCGGCGCTGAGCTATAGACTCTTCCCTCAAGTCCACCATACACGTCCGCGTCGTACACCCTGGAAATGTTTTGGGATCGCAACGGGCGCCGCATACTTACCATCTACCCCGGACCCCAAAGCAGCCAAGTATGGGGACGATGTCTGCAATGGCAGTCCCACCTTGCAGGCAGTCCTGAACCCTCAATCCCGTCATAATTCCAACAATCCCATCCCTCCCATTCCCCTCCTAACCTTTCCTTCCATCCTATCTCTAATCTTTCCGGGAGGAGACAACCTCGACTCCAAAAACCCCAATCCAAGGTGTCAATCGTACCGTGCCGAGGGATGAATGGCTGAGGGTATCAGTCTCAAACGGTGTCTCTCCGAAACCAGGGTGAATCGGAGTAGTAAATAACCCTTCGGGCGACATGCGGGGCTCTGTCGTTCGTGACCTTTTATTTCCCTAGCTACTCGTGGGTACAACATGGAAAAGGATAAAAATAATCAAATTAGCCTAAACCCTATGTCTTCCGTTCTGGAATCCATCCAGGACGGAATGAACCGTGATGAGGCGAAGAGGACTGCAAAGGACTCTGGAACGCCCATCAGTCTATCCCCTACAACGGAGGTGGAAGTCGTGGTCGAAGGAGGCAACTCTGGATCGCCCGACGCCCCATCCGAAGTAGAGGATACGAGCCAAGGCAGTCAGCGCAAGCGACTGTCTGGAGCAGCACGGAAGCGTCTCCGGAAGTTAGTGGCAGAAGCAGGGGTAGCTACAGAGCAAGCCCTTGTGTTATGCCGCAAGCCATGGAAAGACATTCCGATACCGAAGCCGACCTCTGTGAAGACCCTCAAGAGGGACAGATCAGAGGAAGACTCTCCTAAGGCGCACATCAATAAAGTCGCCAAGTTAAGCCCTACAGCCACAGGCGGCCCAAAGCCCCTTAGCTATAGGGAGATGGCGGAGACCTCCAGAGTGGGGATCCGGAATTCGGAACCCATGACGGAAGCCCAGATGGCGCTCGTACATCGTCACCTCATCGTGGCCCTAACAAAAATGGACGCGGAGGGCGATGGACCTGAATTTGTCGGTTTCAGCCACAGGACAGGATGGATACTGGTAACCTGCGCGAACCAGTATAGCCATGACTGGCTTGTGGCTGTAACACCAAAAATGAAGCCATGGCCTGAAGCTCAGCTGACCACCATGTCGGAGAGCGAGCTTCCAAGGCCATCTACGGCAACAACGTTTGTACCCAAGACGGAGGCTGCCTCAGTTACTGAGGCATTAGCCCTGTTGAGGGTACAGAATAAAGGCATAAATCCTGGACTCTGGAGGGTCCTAAACGAGAAGGAGGAAGAAGGAGGAAGGCTTGTCACCTTCTCCATCGACGAACCTTCCGTTGAAGCCCTCAAAGAGAAGGATTACTGGGTGACCCTCGGATTTAAGAGGGTTTACTTCAAGATCAAGGGCGACCATCAGGCCCCTCAGCATCTACAGTCTTCCTCCGAACCCCCTCCTGCCGCCGAACCAACGCCGTCGACCAGCGGAACACAGAAACCCCAGGGCTCACAACCTCGGGGTGGAAGAGCGCCGGTGGTCGTGGGCGGGGGCCGGCGAGGGAAGGGTAAGCATGCAGCTGGAGTGGCAAAACCCCAAAACCCGAACGCTAAAGCGCGACCAACGCCTCTAGCGGGGGGATCACGGGGTGCCGCGAAAGCTGCCAAACGGGGGAAATAAAATGGCCAACCAGGGGGCTCGGGCAAGGGTTCTGCAAGCAAACCTCCAACACGCCGCTGCTGCATCCGCAGTAGTGGAACAGTGCTTTGCAGAACGAAAGGTCGACCTTGCCCTGATTCAAGAACCCTGGGTGCATAACTCAACCATACTGGGACTCAAAGCCGCTGGTAAGGTACTTTATAACATTGATGGCTTGAAACCCAGGGCGTGTATTGTTTTCAGCAAAAACACTAACTATTTGCCTGTTACAGAGTTGTGCACAGATGACCTTGTAGCAGCATTTGTCAATCTCAAGGGATGGCACGGGCCCAGAGTGCTCGTGTGCTCGGCCTACCTGCCCGGAGATAAAGCTGACCCGACTGCTGAGCTCACACCCGTGGTCGACTACGCCCGGAGACACCATGCTGAGCTGCTTGTGGGGTGCGATGCGAACGCCCACCACACCGACTGGGGAAGTACAAACATTAATAACAGAGGTGAGTTATTAAACAATTACCTAGTAACCAATTGTCTTCAAACTTTAAACAATGGCTGTGAACCAACTTTTGTAACTAGGACGAGACAAGAAGTGCTAGATATTTCTTTCGCCACTTACAACCTGGCCAGGCATGTAGAAAACTGGAGGGTTAGTAACGAAAACTCAGTGTCAGACCATAGGCATATATGCTTAGAACTAACATCAGAACTAAGTACACATACTAGTGCATTTAGGGACCCTAAGCGCACCGACTGGGATGAATACAACAAACACCTTGTTCGGAACTTAGAAGTAATTCCTAAATGCATTAGAACGGTTGAGAACATTGAATTCGCGGTAGAGGCGGTCTCTAATGGCATTAAAGATGCCTTCGAGGCTAGCTGTACACCCAAAATCAAATCATCCAAAAGGAAAGTACCGTGGTGGAACTCAAAGCTGAAAAAACTTAGGGAGGAAACACGAAAGTTATTCAATAGGGCTAAAATCACCCATGAATGGGATGCCTACAGGATGGCCCTAAACGAATACAGTAAACAAATTAGAAAAGCCAAGCGTGCATCATGGAGGAAGTTCTGCGAGGAGATAACTAACACGCCTCAAGGAGCAAGACTTCATAAGATCATGGCAAAGGCACACTGTAATCCCTTAGGTCTCCTTAAAAGACCGAACGGGTCCTTCACGACTAACGAGAAGGAAACCTTGCAGCTAATGGCTATCACCCATTTTCCGGGATCTACTGATAATGCAGTAGCGATCACTCTTCGAAGGCCTCTACCAGAGGACTGGAGAAGAGCCGCTCTCGTTATTAGGCCTGGAATAGTGAAATGGGCCATTAACTCGTTTAAACCTTTTAAATCTGGTGGAATTGACGGCGTAGTCCCTGTGCTTTTACAACGGGGTGCCGCCAATCTCATCCCTTATCTGGTAAAAATCTTCAGAGCCAGTTTCGCCTGGGGATATATTCCAGATCTGTGGACTAAGGTGAAAGTCGTGTTCATACCTAAAGCTGGAAAGAAGGACTATACATCACCAAAGTCCTTCAGGCCAATCAGCCTCACGTCATTTCTTCTGAAGACCATGGAGAAGGTATTAGACAATTATATCAGACAAGGGAGTCTTATCAACAAACCCATACATGATACCCAGCACGCCTACCGAAGCGGCAGATCTACGGAGACTGCCCTACTAAACCTTATAGACAAGGTTGAAAAGGCACTGGACGATAAAGAAATAGCACTCGTTGCTTTTCTTGATGTGGAAGGAGCGTTCGATAACA